CAACGCTTTTGATTTAGCTATTTTTAGGTTTATAATGGAATAATATAGATTTGCCATAAGACTTCATGCACGAGCGTCAGAATCTGAAGGTGTGTCACGCCAGATGCATGAGAGTTAGCAACCCTGGGTTTGTGCATAAGCAGCTATAACATCTAAGCCGGCAGCAGTGAGTTTTGAGGTGACTAACCTAACGGATCGCTGCTGGCTAACTAGCTAATATGTCTCAGCATAGATACATGCAGCATAAGCCGCATTGTGACATGAGTCTCTGTCACTGCCATCTTGAGGTGGCATTCTGACCCATTCGAGTGGTAGAAAATGCCAGACTTTTTTGCAGCTTTTGGATGTTCTAACAAAAGAAATGTCAAGACTAAGCAACAGGGAATGACATATCACAGGTGTGAAGTTATTTAGAATATTTCACTGTTACGAATGTGATAAGTTATTGAATGTATTAATAAGATAGTGAAAGTGATATTTATGAATCATCGTCGGCCTTTTTCTGCATTTATATGAGATTAGAGCTACATTTGTATTGTTCGTCTCTCTTGTATAAACATGCAGCCCAAGTCATTTTCCTGGTGTTAAACTGGTTTATCACAGTTGTGTAACTGTCACATTGCAACTGATATTTGCCATAAATGGAGAAAGAAAAATCTGCCAGGAGGAGCCCCTGCCCCCTTAGGTTTGGGCTCCACCCCTGAGAATCACGTTATATAGCTCGAGTGGAATCAATGTGAATGGAATCCAGACTCGTAGCATATCTTTCTTGCTATACAAAGACAGCTTCATTCTCTGTGGAAATTTCAGTCTCTTGCATTTTTCATATCAGTTGTCACAGTGTCAGCGAAGTCAGCTGTGCTTCCCCAAATCAAATCATCCCCATGACATTGAAGTGCTCTGTTAACATCGCCTTCCTGATCCAACCAGGAAAATACAACTGGATCCACCTGAGGTACACTGCCCCCTGTTTTATATACAGCATTTTTCACTCTTTTGTACCAACGCAAATAAGCGCTCACAAGTCCCTAAACATTTTTTAAGCTTCTAAAGTTTTCCCTAAATAGCCACGGGTGGAGGGCAAATGTAAATGTCATGATTTAATGGAGCCACTTGTAGAAATGCAGATAGCAGGACTCTAAGGGATCCAGACAGGAATCTTTGGGAAGCCACTGAATTCAAGGTCTTCAAAGCTTCTAGCTACTAGTTGTGCATTTGGTGCAAATCCATATGAGGTCTCTTTCATTGTTCAGACCCATCTTGTTGAAATGCACTTTTTACCAACATCTGTTACCTCTTCAAAAACACCATTATTCTTCCGGTTACTTGATTCAACTTGTTTTGCTACTTCAAGTGGTATATCATCCATCACGAGCACATCTTCCTCCTCTTGATTGATTTGAGTCCCTGAATGGTCTAATGTATATATTCAGTAGTAAACGTGTCCAGTGTCCATTATCTAAAACTACAATGCAGTATGTTTTTGTCAAAATAAAATTTACTTAAATCCTCCAGATTTAAGTTAATTTTCCTCAGTTGTATAAATCAGTTGTTTAGATTAATCGAACCATTGGTAAATAGTTGATAGATTAATCTATAGAAAAATATACATTAGTGGCAGCTTAATGCATTGCGTCGCTATATCATTGATCTCAATATGACAGTTTTTTTATAACGTAAAAAAATATACAGGTGTTATTGTGAAGGGTAATTATATGGCACAGCCCTACTTTCAGCAGCACTTCCGCTAATTTTCGATTATGCTATTCAAGAAAGCTGTTGCTCCATGGGCTCTCTGCAGCACTGTTTTTAACTTAAGTGTTAAAATTTTCTAAAAAACACCAGAACATTGACACCAGTGCTGCTATTTTTGGATAAGTGCATGTTTTAAATTAAACTGATGTTACCCATGTAAGTTTTCACGCACAAAGTCCTTTACGTGGCCAGGATGCAAGCAAGTGCGGTGACGTGGAGACATGAGGCTGAGGGTTGTGCCAGGCAGAGGGTATGGCTTAGGATGCGAGATCAGCTGATTTGGGCAGAGCTGGCACCTTTCGAAGGTGGCTGACGGGCGATAGGAGGTAGGTGGCGATGATATTTCAGGAGACTTTGATCAGGCCAATCTGAGGACAGCTCTATCTCATTATTATCAACAAGTGGACTTTGCAACCAGGGGAGAAAACACATTATAGCAGGTTTACACAAACATTTAGGGCAGCCTCCCACGCCCACCTTGGAATTTTGGATCATCTCTCTGTTACGCTAAATCCAACATGGAGGCCACTACTGTGAAGTTAATAAGGATTTTGCCAAAGGGAGCAACTTCAGCAAGTCTGTTTCGAATGTAATGACTGGACTGTGTTCTGAGAAGCTGCCACTGTCAAGCAACACGTCAGTCTGGGGGAGTATGATGGGATTCATAGCCAAGTGTGTGGATGATGTGACAGTCAACAAGAATCACCACAGGTGCCAACCAAAAACCCTGGCTCACAGGAGAGGTGCGTACTGAAGTCCCTCCAGACAGTGGTGAGAACAGCAGAGAAAATCATCAGGACCAACCTCTCGTCTACCCAAGATCTGTACTTGTCACCCTGCCTTAGGAGAGCCACCAAGATAGTCAGAGACCCCACCCAGGCAGCCCATGGACTGTTCAACCTTCACCAGTCAGTGAACATGTCTAGTCCAACCAATGGCCTTATGCAGCAGATTGTGACGACAAGACAGCCGAGTGAGACAGCTTGGCTCTAGAAAGAACTCTTAGAACAAGTGCTTCTGCACGGTCCTCCAAGGGTATCCTACCAGTCCTCCAGAGCATCATCATGTCACCAGACACCTCAGGTCCCAATCCTGCCATCAGTGGAGAAGGGCCAACCACAGTTTGATCGAACCCTACATGGTATATGTTCAAATCCTCCTCCTTGTCCACAGCCTCATAAGCCATGGCCTTACTGATGGAGGAGCTGTCTCGCACTCTGCAGAGAAACCTTCTGAGTAGCACTCAATTCCCCTCTCCACCTCCTATAAGCAGAGATTCATCCCTTCCTGAGCATTGCTATGCATCACCATGCTGCACCTCAGTTGCAAAGAGGACTGAGCCATATCAGAGAATATAGTCATTGCCGCTATGTCCAATATGGAAGCAGGGCCCATCAGTGCAACCCCATTTCCAGTTTTCCTACCAGCCACAACAGGCAAATGCTCCTAACCCCCCTCTTCCATTGGGTCCAGAGCTCCATACTCAGCCTGTACCAACTGCAACTCCACTTCAACCAGCTCCCCTTGTTCAGCAAGCAGTTCAGGGACCCCCTCAATTTAACAGCAAAGCTATGGCTGCCTACTTCCCCCATCATGGGTTCCCATTCGTTGAGGGCTCCACCTTTGCAGATTTCACAAGGGAAAACAGGGCTCAATACACTGAGCTTAGTATGGCTTTGAGCAGTCTTCTTCACCCCAGCCTTTCTGAGCTGAGTATTCAATCCACCTCAAGCATGTGAAGGTCCCTAATGCCCAAGACTTGTCTTGGCACATGCAGAGTCTTCAGTGCCCTATACTAACACATTCCATGAACTAGACAGAAGGTATGGACAACCCTATCAGTTTGTGTTGAAAGAGATCTTAGAGAGCCCACCACTCATTCTCATGGGAGATGAACAAGCCTTTGATGAATTCTCTCTGCATGTGCAGGCCAGAGTAGGAATGCTCAACGCCTTGAGAGAGGATGGCATTGAGGAGCTACACAGTGGCACCAATGTGCAGCATCTGTTGCGCAGGTTAACCTGCCATAAGCGGCAGCAGTTCAGAAGACACCAGAAGACATCAACCCTGACGAGGCAAAGTTCAATTTAAGTCTAAATTGGCCCTGTGAGTGTATATGCCCTGTGGTGTGTTGGCAACTGCCCAGGGTTGATTCCTGCCTGTGCCCATTGTTCCTGGGATAGGCTCCAGTCCCCCCCACAACCCCAGTTGGGATTCAGTGGTTTCGGAAAACAGATGGATAGTTCTTGCCTTTGCCCCTTGTTTCAGCTTTGTAAAGTTAGTTAATTAATATAATTAAAGTAGCTTGTGTAAGGGGATATTAGCCAGCTAGCAAGCTGTGCATAATGGCAGACGGTGCTAATATTGTTGACTTGCTTTTGGCAAAGCCATTTATGCCTTATGAGGAGAGACTTGGAATTAAACAGCAGGGCAGACCAACGCCCAAGATTGATTTGGTGCAAAAATCAGGGAAAAATAACTGGTCTTTTCAGCTCTCCTGGTATGACATGGTGAACTGGCTGACTGGAAGTGCTGTGACAAAATAAATGTACTGTTGACCATGTTTCTTGATGAACCCTTCTCAGGGAATGGGATGTGTGGTTTGGTCAAACGTGGGTTTTGGGGATCTGGGTAACTTTGACAGGGCATACAAAAGGCACAAAAAGTGCAAAGAACCTGTGAGTTCATGTGCAAGGTTAAGCTGTCTGGGCAGGGTCAGGGTTGAACATGCAGTCAATGAAGGTCTTTGCATTCAGGTGGCAAAATATAATGAAACAGTAAAAAAAAACAGGGCCTTCATAAACCGCATAATTCATGTGACGTCCCTGCTTGGCCGTCCGGAGCTGGTATTCAGGGGACATGATGAGAGTAATGAATCAGCAAATAAGGGGAATTACAGGGAATATACAGAAACATTAGCTAAATATGACACTGTCTTGACCACACAATTTCAGTCATCAGCTGTGTTTTCTGGTATGTCCCACTCAATCCAAAATGACTTGATTTCTGCTCTCGCAGCCACTGTTTCTGATAATATCAAAGGTGAAATTCAATCTGCTCCTTTTTTTGTATGGCAGGTGGATGAAGCAGCTGACATTTCGTGCCATGCCCAGCTGTCTGTCATTGTTAGATATGTGGATACTGTAGGTAAAACTCAGGAGCGCTTCATTGGATTTTTGGATGTGTCTGGGCGTCGAGATGCTCAGTCTGTGGGAAGGGAGGGGGGGGGCTGTCATGTGGAGATGCCGCCTTCTGCCGGTATTTCATCACGGTCGGCTCTCTGAAACGGACCTGCAGCTGGGAGCGCAGCCATGGGGAACGGGATGAGCAAGGTAGCCTAAACCTAACCCTAACCCTAACACCTCAACTCTCACATTCCCCAAAGAGGCGCTCCACAATCCTCTTACGGCATTTTTCTCCTCATTCGGTTTGATTTGGTGCCTCCATGCCTCTATAATACCTGGCCAAACTACGCGGGCTGTGCCGTATATAATGCGCTGCGTTTCGGGTGTTGAGGGCACGTATGCGTGTACGTGGCTGATCCTGGGGCTGGTTTTTCTTTTTTCTAGCCCCATATAAAAATATAAAACCAGGTTCATGAGCAGATAACTTTTTTTCCAGGTTCTGTTTAAAATACCCATATAACGGGCGATAGCTGTTATTCTTGTCTGAATGTTGTTTCCCTTTCTTTTGGTGCCTCCCGTCTGCTCCATGATGCAGCTTGAGCGTCTATTTTTACCCCTCATATATGGAGGATATTAAATTGCGCTGAACGATCGGCTGTTTTTCTCCTCACTGCCAGATAATATAAATATCAGTCTCCTCTCCCCCCAGGTCGTTGATGGGCTATATCTTGGAAATATAAGAGGTAGGATTTATTTTTTCTGAATAATGTGCAATGACATCTGTAAATTGAATATTTGAATATCCTTGCGTTACATTGAACTCGATTTTTTCCAGTTTCCTGATAAATTGTGGATGTTTTAACGCCTACTTTAGCTCAAAGTTCTCATTGAAGCATGTCAGCTGCAGAGGTCCCATTCCGCACTGCACGCGGAATCTCCACCACCACCAGGTGGAGCCAAAGCGCCACCTTGCTCATACATGATGCGCTGTTTGGTGCAGAATAATTTCCCTTTTGATTGGATATGACTTATTTCCAGATGAAATCCGACCCACACGAATGGCTCAGTGCTGACACATGGTCCGATTCTCTCTGTGACGGATCAGGTTTTCACAACACAGGACCTTTATAACTCGGGTCAACGGCTGAAAATAGAGGGAAGGATCAACCTTGATATCTGGAGCTGAATATATGAAGCTGCCAGTTTAAGGCTGGTCTGACCAAGGTCGTGGGTTTGGTTTCAACACTGGACACACACAGGACTCCTCTGGTAGTGGTAGGGACACGAGCCTACCGTCCATACCCAAATTTACGCCCGTGCATTAGCAGTGAAAGGGCTGTCTGAGTGCTCACACATATCCATGCATGTTTATGGTACTTTGGATTTCACTTTCTGGAAAACTTGATACTGGGATTCAATGTGTTTTTCGCTGATGTCTGTAATTTCAGTGTTGAAGCCTTTTCCACTTTCCCCAGTCTAAGATCCCCAGTTTGTGGCATTACACCCTTTTCGAATTAATGACCCCGCCCACTGCCATGTGAAAATCATAGTGCTGTTTACATGTTTGTTTACTGGTATCATGTTTGACCAGTGCTCATCCCCAGTGCGTTTATAGTTACTGGAAAATATCATTGTATATTTAAGTTTTGTGTGTGCTTGTGTCAACATGTCTGCTTATTAAATCTGAAACCCAGTAATTACTAATAAAATTTATTATACATTCACAGACTCTGAAAACACAGAGATTTTATCTGACAATGGAATCACCCACATCCTGTCTGTGTACAACAGTGCCAAACCAGTGATAGAGGTGAGAAGGACGCCCCCCACCCCCCTTGCAGTAGAGGGCGCTGTCGTGTTGATGTCCAGCTGCTTATCTTCTCTGTGAGGAATAACGATGAATTAAATTTATTAGAAACAATGTAACCTATTTTACATGGGAAACAGATACAGGCCATTAAGTTAAATTCTGCACATCACTGGCAGAGAAAATTTTTGTGCTACACACTTAAGTTCACATAATTAGTTAATCTTAACAAAGTACAATGGGGGAGTGGGGGGGGGAAGCATAGGGTACAAGTTGGGGTATAGGTATAGATTCTGGGCCCCCTGACAAAATGTCACCCTAGTTTCCCTTCCAATACAAAGAAATACTGAAAAAAACACAACGATGAAAAGAGGGTATAATAACACAATATTCACCCATTTTCAGTCCACTTCTGGTGAGCACGGTGCCTAGGTAATACTGTCTAATGACTGTTCTATGATGTTGATTCTGCCTTGGTCCCCATGATTACACATGGATACAGATAATTGCTGAATGATGTATTCAGTCTCCATGGCTGAGGTTTCCCTGTCTTCTACTCCAACAGGGTATGACCTACCTCTGCATACAGGCCTCGGACTCATCCAGTCAGAACCTGTGAGTGTCTGTCAGGGGGGGGAGTACACATAAATATTTCGGTTTAGTTATCGGTCTTTAGATCTTTGAACTAGAAATTATTTCAGTTTTTTCCCCAAGATCTCTGTACCTCACATCCGGCTGGTTCTATGTTCAAGACCCACATGCAGGTGCAGTTTCATTTCCGCATCAGTCAGTAGCAGCCTGTGAGTGACCCTTCAGCTGGGGGGTGTCACATGGGCATCTCCAGCACTGGAAGCCGCTGATAATGGGGGGGGGGGGGGGGGGGGGG